TTGCAATACGACACAGAATAAAATAAATTGACTAATAATTACGGGGACAGCAGTGTTATCCCAGCGAGTTGCACTTAATCAGACTTATTTTTAAGTCAATGCTGTAAATTGGCTTTTAGGTATATCTAGCGTAGAGAAAATTAAATTAGCCTTTCACTTTTTCAGGTAAATAGGGTTTGCAGTATAATTTGCAGTAGTTGACATGCTTTTAGAGTTCTTAAAATACCTTTGTTAGGACTACATGCTGAAAGTTTTAGTGGTGTTGGCAGCTTTAAATCCTGTAATTTGGGTAACTTGCAACTTGGCAGTAAATCAGATTGTATTTAATTAATGTTTCTATCCCTGAAGTTTTCATTGGTAATCTTTCTAGTTTTATATTTCTCACCATTTTTATATTTACTATTTTAAAATAATGAGTTTTATATGCATTCCGGTGTTACAGAAATGTGGTACATGCAGAACAACTATTACATCATTTGTGATGCTGCTATATGACTTGAATTGTTATATTAAGGACCTCAGACCCATGAAACTACAGGAACTTAAATTATTAATGTATAATATTTTTGAAAGTTGCTTCCAAACTGAAATTTGCGAGCAGAGGTAACAATTCATCAGTCAAATTTTTTATACAGTTTTAAACGTGAAAGAACATCTGCACTGTAGAGGGTTCTACTTTCTAATTTCAGATATAGAAATTTGAACATTACACTAAATGACTTTTTGTGCACTACCTACTCTACACAGATTAATATTCTTGCCATACTTACTTCAAATTATTTTCAAATCAGTTTTGATTTAAACTCATGTTTTTACTTGCTTAGATTGCTAAAATGGATGTTCTGTACTGGCTTGTGTAATATTGGAAATATTTCAGGGTTTTTGCAGATGCCCCTTTGAAGGAGTTCTATGCTTGTCTATACTGAAAAACATCCTCACTATGAGAACACCACAAGCTCCAACACAGAATTGATGAAATACACTCTAGGCTTTCTGTTTCAGCCAGCACCACCTTTCATAGATTCATAGATGTTAGGGTCCAAAGGGACCTCAATAGATTATTGAGTCCAACCCCCTGCATAGGCAGGAAAGAGTGCTGGGTTCAGATGACCCCAGCCAGATGCCTATCCAAACTTCTTTTGAAGACCCCCAGGGTAGGGGAGAGCACCACCTCCCTTGGGAGCCCATTCCAGATTTTGGCCACTGTAACTGTGAAGAAGTTCCTCCTAATGTCCAATCTAAATCTGCTCTCTGCTAGCTTATGGCCATGATTACTTGTGACCCCCCAGGGGCACCTTGGTGAGTAGAGCCTCACCAATTCCCTTCTGCGCTCCCATGATGAATTTATAGGCAGCCACAAGGTCGCCTCTCAACCTTCTCTTGCGGAGGCTGAAGAGGTCCAGGTGCCCTAGTCTCTCCTCGTAGGCCTTGGTCTGCAAGCCCATAACCATACGAGTGGCCCTTCTCTGGACCCTCTCCAGGTTATCCACATCCCTCTTGAAGTGTGGCGCCCAGAACTGGACACAGTACTCCAACTGCGGTCTGACCAGCGCCGCATAGAGGGGAGGTATCACCTCCTTGGTTCTGTTTGTCATGCATCTGCTGATGCATGATAAAATGCAGTTAGCTTTGCTGATGACTTCGTCACACTGACAACTCATGTTCATCTTGGAGTCCACTAGGACTCCAAGATCCCTTTCCACTTCTATGCTGCCGAGCAGGTCATTTCCTAGGCAGTAGATGTGCTAGACATTTTTCCTCCCTAAGTGCAGCACTTTGCATTTCTGCTTGTTAAATGGCATTCTGTTGTTTTCTGCCCATTCGTCCAACCTGTCCAGATCTGCCTGTAGTTGTTCCCTGCCCTCTGGTGTGTCCACTTCTCCCCACAGTTTTGTATCATCCGCAGACTTGGACAGAGTACACTTCACTCCCTCGTCCAAATCACTGATGAAGACATTGACGAGTATCGGTCCAAAGACTGAGTCCTGTGGGACCCCACTGCCCACGCCCTTCCAGGTCGATACCGACCCATCCACCGCTACTCTCTGGGTATGACCCTCTAACCAATTTGCCACCCACCGGACTGTGTTATCATCCAAGTCACAGCCTCTTAACTTGTTCACCAGTATGGGGTGGGATGACGTATTGAAGGCTTCCTGAAGTCTAAGTAAACGATGTCAACCCTTACTCCTGCGTCGAGGTGTTTTGTAACCTGGTCATAAAAAGAGACTAGATTAGTCAGGCATGATCTACCTGCTACGAACGCGTGCTGGCTTCCCCTCAGCATAATTTTTCCTGCTGGGCTCTCACATATATGAGCCTTAATAATCTTTTCAAAGACTTTGCCAAGGATGGAGGACCTTCTGCTATTTTGAACAAGTCCAGCTTGAAATGTTCCAGTTAGAGGTGCACCAATACATAGGTCCATATTGTATTGGCACTGATGAAAGGAAAATTGACATTATTGGCAACTGGCCTTTTTTTTGGTAATGTTGCCAATAATATCACAGATGAATGCTGCGTGCATGCGCATAGCCGTAACACACACATGGCCAGGAGTGCAGCCCAGCAGCTTGGAGAGGAGTGTCCTGCCAATAAGTCTGTGGGTGGGAAAGGCTTAAGTGGTGGCAGGTCAAGGCGCCCCACAGTGAGGAAGGAATAGGGCAGGGGCAGGTGCTGCTCAGGCAGGGAATGGGATGGACGGAGCTGCAGGCAGCTCATCTGGAGCAGCTCCTGCCATTGCGCACAGCTCCGGGGGAGCCATGGGGGGCATATCTCATGCCCAGCCCCACCTGGGCATTGGCTGCCCCTGCCCATCTCCCTGTCCCAGCGCCATTCCTTTCCACACCATGGAGGGCTCAATCTGCACCCCCCGCCCGCCCCTCCCATGCCCCTTTCTAGGCAGTTGGATTGGTATTGGCCAGTATGGTTGGTTGATAATAGGCCAATAGTATTGGCCAAAAAAATCTTTATCGGTGCACCCTTGGTTCCAGTCAACTTTATATTCCTCCATCAATGGGACTTTGCTCCTAGATCACATAGGGCATGTCTACCTGTCAAATTTAATGTACCAGGCAGCTGTGCCTTCAAACATGCTCTGCACAGCCTGTCTTATGGTTGAAAAGCAGGGTTGCCATATTTGTGTTAGCTATCAGTATTTAAACCAGTACCACTTAGCCTGCCTCTAGTGCAAGCAAATTTGGGGTTGAAACAGATGTCACCTTACATTGCCTTTATGCCACCATCATTTTTTTTTTTTTTATGGTGGCTTAATGCAAGAACAAATAAATAGCCATATTCTTTGTCATGCCACAAATGCCCAAATTGGCCACGATAAAAGAAAGTAATAATTTGTCCCACTTAATTCCTAAGGATGTCTGTTTGCCTTATGGCAAGAAAGCTGAGAGCTGCCTGCACTCTCCAGCCACCCGGGGAGCCCAGCTTTCTCTCTGTTGAGAGATCTGCCCCAGAAATTGCTAGGGCCACATGTCTAGAAACAGGGAACATGTTGTCTGTTGTCCTGCCCATTGATCTTATGGAGTAACAGGTGATGTATTTTGTACAATGAAGTAAATCAGCTGTTCTGGGATGCATCCCAACACAATGGATCCACTCCGTTTTTGGCATGGATCTGTTTCTAGCCACAGATGCATTGCTTCTAGTTCAGGAGGCAGTCCTTGCAAAGCAGCATGGTGTGTTTTTGAGGGAGCCACTGCCAGATGTGGTAAGTTTGGTATGGAGACGTGGCCTTTGTATTCTTTGGAAATACTACTCTCATCCCTGTTGTACCCTAAGAACATTATTTTAATTTTATTTTTGAAAATGTTACCCTCTACAGACAAATTAGTTAACAGTTACCTTGAATATAATGACAATCTAAATAAATTGGTCACTATTAGCACTGAAGTGATTTTTGTTCTTACATGACAGATTTTAGCTAGACTTGAAACTTAAAGAAAGTCAGCAGTGCTGCAAACATGTATGGTGGACATCATAAACTTTTAAGCTGATAATTAGATCCAATAAATTGAAGGGGATGTGAATAAAATAGATTTCTTTTTAAAAAGTTTATAGGTTCAGAACTTTAATTTTCAAAATATTTGTACTTACCAATAGCAGCTCTGCAAACACTGTATTGAAATATATATATAAAAAGTGGAATTTAATAGTAAAACTAATACAGAATATTTTAGTTCATTACAGTTGTAATGCATAGTTGCCATAATGTACACTTTCAAACTAGTTTTCCAAATTTTTAATAGAGTGAATGGGAGGTTTTAAGTTGTCATACTGTTTCCAAAGAATACAGCTTTCTCTGAACAACATTCTAAACAGGTCTTGTCAAGCATAAGGGGTAGAGTTTTTGTTTGGTTGGTTTGCTATATGTGGTGTGTTAGTATTCTACAACATAACGAAAGCTAGGGCTTTGTGTTAAAATCCGATCTGTAAGCTATTCTTAGAACCCCTGTGCATTGTGAGAGTTCATATTACTGCACCTAAACTCAGATTCTAATGAAGTGGAAGTGAGAAATAAATTCATGAAGTTGAATTGGAAAAAGTATTGAAACAAGATTCCCCCAACAAAATATTTAATAGGAAAAAAGTATTTTTCAGAATAGACTTCCTCTAATCCTTATTTTTAAAACTTTTCGGAAAGCACAGGATTAGTGTTACTAACCAAGGGATTAGTTTTCAGTTCCAAAGTCTTGAAATTTCCCTCCTGGCTAATTACTGTTTATTGCTGTAGACCTTGGTCATTTAGCAGTAACATTTTCCATCTTAAGATGGGTTGTCCCATTCAAGTGAAGAGCTTGCTGTCTGAGTGTTGAATGGAATTACTACCAATGGAAACTATGCTGCAAGAGGAGTTGATAAAGCAGCTGCTGTGCAAACATCAGCTGTTTTTTCCATCCTCCGAAGCAAAGTTAATTAGCATAGGGAAACTGACTAATGTGCTGACGTCACCTCTTTCCAGTAGAAGCTTACATTTTGTCCCTGACTGCCTGAAAAGCATGCAGGACTTTGTTCAGGAATTTGCTGTCACATACAGGATTCTCTGAAAGCTGGGTGGTTTTTTCCCTCTCTGAGGGGTTGGACTTGTTCCTTTATAAACACTGTCTACAGACCCGAGATCTTCCTTAAAAGTGACTGTTTTGTGCTGAGCTGCTGGCCGTACTTTAGTGAAGCACAAAATGCATTTTAGAAACTTTAATTATAGTTTTGGTTCTCTAATTGCCTGCGTGGCAAACAGTGAAGTCTTCAATCACATGGAAACAAGGGTAAGAGCTTATTTTTTAAGGTCATTTTAGTTACGTGAATAGATACTGAAGTATTGTAGGTGCTATTGTAAAATGGTTGAAAAGTATTGTGAAGTTTAAAGTTAGATGTGACTAATCCTCTTAGAAAGCTCTTCTCTGTACCATGACTACTGATCTAAAAATGTATAGTCCATATGTGATCGTGATTGTCATGGAAAGTAAGATTTTGAGCTTTTCCTTTTCCATATATCTAATGTAATCTGTCCAGAAATATATTCAATGTATATAGGCATGCATATGTATAAAGTCTTCTTCATGTACTCTTATATGAAATCATTTGCTGTAATGTTCACATGATTTAGACTGTTGACAGTAGCAGTATTCATATAAATTAGAATAATCCAAGCCTAGATTACATCAGTGTGAAATCACAATTGTTAATAAAAATACAATAGATAACGTTTTTGCTCTTATCCATCTGATCCAAAGTCAACCTTTTCTATCTGTAGTGAATTAGTTATTCTATACTAGAGATCTGTTAAGTACAAAATAAATGCATTTTGCTAGTAATTGCCATGATAATAATATAAATTTACTTCATCTGGAAGCTGGATTAATGAGGTGGGTATTTTTCAACAATGCAGGCTTCCTTTGTTGACTAACAAAAGAGAAAGATTCCATACAATTTACTTATCATGCAAAAGGTCTACAAAGGTTACTGGTTAATTGTAAAGTCTGAACTCTAGACAGGCTTTGTCTTTTCTCATAAGATGTGAATAAAGTCTTGGTATACAGAGCAGTAATGAAAGAAACATAAGAATCCAGGCTGGACTTTTTTTTAAAATCCAGATCAGCTTATTTTCCAGTTTTAAGAAGCCAACCAATAACAAGTGATCCTAATAAAGGCTCTATTCATGTGAATTTTATTAATGCTAAATAAATTTTTATATGGAATACTCTAAATATGACTTGAGGCAGGACAGCTGAATTTAAAAAAAATCACAAAATAATTTTGAATAACTAATCAAATATGAGTAGTACATAGACTGCCTAGATATCAGTAGAAAATTAGTTCAGTTAGGCTATTTGGGTTAAGGAAGTTTACCTGTTCACAGAATAATTCTGATTAGGTTACACTGTTGCTTCTCTGCAATCCTGGAATAACGTAGAGTAATCCAAAAATCAATGATGAAATGGAATACAGAAGTTGGAATACACTGATCAGTAAATGTTTGTGAAATCCTAGCACACATGCAAAAATAAACAAACTTGAGGGCAGGTTGATAAGACACTGTGTTTTAAAACACTCTTGAAAAGTATGCTGGCCCCAGACTCCCCTCTTAATTCCACACTCCATCTCCTAGCTCCATGGAGTAAAAATGGAAATGTTCTTCATAAATAATGTAAAAATAGCCACATTTGGTTTGGATAGCTGCCCTAGAGCTGTGAGTGCATGAACGTTAAATATTTGAATGCTCAATGCAGGCTGCTAAACAGTGATTAAATTAGCCATCTAGTCTAGATGGCAGCATAACTTATGGGCTGCAAACTTATGAAAGGACAAATCTGAGTCCATTTTGGGTTTAGTTCCAGCTCTTCAAGAAGCTTGCTGCTGGAAGCATTCATTGAGGGTTTTTTGCCTCTGTTTTCCTACCTTTGCAAATTAGAACAGTATTTTCTTTGAGGCTGTGAAATTCTTGGCAGTCCATAGGTGGGTGAGAAGATAAAAATTCAGATACAAAAAAGGATTTGCCATGGTTTTTCCACTTTTTATATTAGGATAGTTAAGTACCTGGTTTCCTTGGAAATAGGCATACTTCAGTACAGCACAAAAATATTTATTTTTCACATCTACCACATGGGGACTCGTATTGAGTAAAGCCTTCTAGTCCTTCATTTAATCTGTTTTTGTTAATGTTTCATAGAAATCCTTAACAGACTGTTAAAACTTGCAAGATTTGAAATCCTGTAATGTTACTTTTTTGCATACACAAATTTGAGTCATAAGCTGCTGACAGCAATTTTTTTGCAATCTTTACTTCCTCTTGGAAGCCACTAATTTTTTCCTCAGTGCTGAAAACTGTAGTCCTTATGGAGGTAGGGGGAAGCTTGTGCTGTACCTCAAATAAATTAGGATTGCTGGTTTATTATGGCAGAATTACTGTTTTCTTTAAGAATTTTTAACGTGTCTAATAATGCCAGTGTGTCATAAGATACAGTTGACCTCTTAAGAAGAATATGAGAGTGTTCCATGTACATCTTCTGTTATTTTAATATTTGCTGTTTGTTTTTCAGGCCAAATTTGAATCACTGTTTAGAACATATGACAAAGATGCCACTTTTCAGTATTTTAAAAGCTTCAAAAGAGCACGAATAAACTTCAGCAACCCTTTATCAGCAGCAGAAGCTAGAATTCAGCTACACAAAACAGAGTTCCTTGGAAAGGAAATAAAACTGTATTTTGCACAGGTAGGTCTTGCCAAGAATTTTTTTTTCTATAAAGGCAGTCTCTCTGCTCCTGAGTCTTAAGCTGATATAGTTTGTAATTATTAAATAGACTTCTTCTGAAAATGTTATAATATTTATCAGAGGTCAGATTTGACTACAGCAAGTATTCAGTGAGGTGGAGACTGATATAACACTTGAACCATTCAGGATATTTCACTGATCCACAATTGTCCCTGGAAAGAGGTATCCACACATAGACACTGCTCAGACTTCTAAGTAAATCTCTTACTACTTTGTATTGCTGTCAAAATACCACCATGGCCTGGTAGAGACCATCATACTTTCCCGGGGTCAGTGCCCAGAGTGCTCCCCAGGATTCCCCTGGGGGAGCTGAGGAAGGGGATGTGGATTGGGGCAGGGGGTTGCCAGGTGTTGGGGGGGTCCCCTGGTCCTGGTTCCTATTGGGGCTGGCTGTTCTGCGCCCCCCCCCCAAACACATCAGGGCAGGGCTGCATGAATGAGGTGGAAGGGTGCAATTTAACAGTTAATGAGCTAATTCACTTTACATTGAGTGTAGAATTGACCACCATTCTGTTCTATTAAGTACCCAGTGTGCAATGGCTCTGTTCCCACCCCTTACATCCAGCCATTGACAGGTGTTCCTAGGCACAGCTACCCACCCACCACAAAGCCCCTTTTCTCCCTCTAACTTGTCTACCTTCTCCACCAAATAAACCTGGGATCCCTGCTCTGGGTTCCTGCCAGTGAAGCAAACTGACAGAGAGGTTTTCTGCTTCCTTACACCTGCTTACTCTGGTCTCTGCAGGCAATAGATCTTTGGCAGGTAGTCCATCCCACATTGGATCCCAAAGCAGCCCCATTGCCCTTCATAGGTTCGAGGGGATGAAGAGCAGTGCAGTTTGGGATGCCTTGAGGACTAATCAGACACTAGGCATGGAATGCTCTGTGTCCAGACATACCAGTGAACTAGTTTAAGGGGGACAAGCTCAAAATAGTACTTGATTTTCCAGGTGTGCTTTTGAAACATTCCAGCAAGTTTAAACTGGGCTAAAGTGGCCTGTACCTCTAGACTTGTGTATTTAAAATGTTCTGAATGTTACTTCTGTCCACACCCTGAATAGTTGTGTAACAGATATAGTTGTATCAGTAGGTTCAAGTCACTGCACAGCATAAGGACCATCACCAGTGAAGTACTTGGGTGGCAACTGACTTGATTGCCTGTAGGTAGTCAAGGCTATAGAAATCTGTAACTCCACCTCAGTGAAGATCTGGGAACTTTTGACTGCTACTGATTTGTTCTCATTGGATTTACACTCAATAGGAAAACAGGCACATAGGGCATTTTCCCTATCTCCCTCAGGTCAGTCCTTGAAGGAGTCAGTCAGCCTGTTATTTTTCAGAATTCTCAGAAATCCTCAGAATTTATGGTAATAGGTTTCAAAACTGTTTGTCAGTGGGCCCTGCAGTCCTTGTTGAATTGCTCCCTTTGGTTTCTTAAAAACAGATATTTTCTGCCAAAATTAACATGAAACTATTCAAAGATGCAGAAGTTTACATTTTGCTATATATTTCATCAGAATTGTGTCATCAATCTGAATGTTTTCTGTGCTGTGTGCCATACAGCTATCTTTTTTTAGTACCATTATTATACTGCCACCTTGGGTGCTTGTTGCAGTATTACATATATTCATTCAGATCTTAAATTCCCCATACAATTTTTTTGATAATTTGGTAAATACCTTATTTTTATATTCCCAGACTTTGCATATTGGAAGTCCACATTTGGCTCCACCAAATCCAGAGAAACAGTTTTTGATTTCACCTCCAGCCTCTCCTCCTGTTGATTGGAAACAAGTGGAAGATGCTACTCCAGTTATTAACTATGACCTCCTATATGCTATCTCCAAGTTAGGGCCAGGTAAGAAACATTCAACACACATTAGTTTGTTCAAGCTGCAGTAGAGGTTAGACATTTTTTACAAAAGATGTTTGTTTATACCAGGGGCAGGCAATTATTTTGGGCGGAGGGCCGCTTACTCAGTTTGGCAAGCTGTCAAGGGCCGCATGGGTGGCCGCATGGGTAGCCCCACCCCTTGACAGGTACCCCACCCCCTGGCCACCATCTTGGGACCAGTGTCCCACGGCCGCTGCTAGAGGGGCCCAAAGCGGGGCTCAGGCTGGCAGGGGTCTGTGGAGCCAGGTTGGGCTGCACCAGCAGGGAGAGGGGGAGCTGGCCCGGCTCTATAGAGCCTCTGCCAGCTGGGACCCTGTACTCCTGGTGCCCTGCTCTGGGCCCTGCCGGCACTGGCCCCAGGACACCGGTGTGGGCCCTGTGCACCCGCTCACTCCCAGTGCCCACTCCTTCCTACCCCCTGGGTCCGTGGTACAGGCCGGGGGCAGCGCGCAGCCCCAACCCCTTGCTCCCCAGCAGGGATCGAGCTGGTGCTGAGTGCAGGGAAAAGTGACCCTGCCCCGCGGGCGGCACTCCCTGCTGCAGCTGCTCACAGCCCGCATGGGGATGTCTGGAGTGGGCAC